TAACAACAACAAGAAACAACATATAAGGTCAGTGAAGGCCCCACTGGAGTAAGGGCTAAAGGAAGTCAAGTCAGTCACATACTGTGACTTCTCTGCCCTGCCTTCTTTTTCCTTCCTCCTCTCTCCTTTCTGCCCAGTGAGTCTGGATCCAGGAGAACGGTAGAGATGCCAACCTGAACTTGATGCTGCATTCCCAGGCCCAGGGTCCAAGGACTTCAAGGGAGACCTGTGGCCACTTTGAGTTACTGTACGTGATTTTAATAGAAAGAAACCTCATGAGTGGGAATGGCCTTTCCTAGTGTTTTAAGAAGAAGTCTCTATGTATTTACATGTAAAAAACATCTAATAGGAGCTGTGCTGCCAACTTGAAGGCACACAGTTTGAATCCACCAGCTGCTCTGCAGAGAAAGATGGGCAGTCTCCTCCTGTGTGAGTACACTGCCTCTGAAAACCCGCTGGAGGCCAGCCATGTGTCACTTTTGACACAACAGTACACAACAGCGACAATAACCAAAAAGAGAGCTCTAGTGGCTTAATGGTAATGAGCTGCACTGCCAACCCAAAGGGTCAAGGTTTGAATCCACCAGCTGCTCCTCTGGAGAAAGATGGATAGTCTCTTCCCATTTGATTTACTGCCTCTGAAAACTTACTGGAGGAGTCAGTTCTGACCCGAAGACAATAATTACAACCACCAGCAAGAACCTAAAAAGGAGCTGTGGGTGGCCTAGTGTGTTACATGTTATTTTGTTAACCTGAAGGTGAGTAGTTCTAATCAGTGGGTCAGTAGTTCTAATCTACCAGCTACTTCGAAGGAGAAAGATGGACAGCATCCTCTCAGAAAGATTTACAGCTTCAGAAACTCAATAGCAGGCCACTGTGAGCCAGAATCAAATTAATAGTGGATTTTTTTGTTTGTTTCTTTCTTTTTTTTTTAAGTAACCTAAATGTCAGTGATTTTGCACTTGCCCAGTGATATTACGAAAGACTAACTTGGCAATTTTGCTTCCATAAAGATTATAGGCCAGAAATCCCTCCAGAGCCGTTCTTCCATGTTCATGGGGTTGCCATTAGTTAGAAGTGACTCAGGGTAGTGGGCTTGGTTTTAGAGTTACACACATAAATATATTTCATCTGATATTTCACTACTTTTCACTCATGGGGTGTAGTGTGAGAGTCAACTAACATGTGTAAAGGCAAACCCTGAGAAGTAGACCAGTTGTCTGACTGACAAAAAAACGGAGGCTAATAAGGAAATTGTGCTCTTCTTCATATAGCTTACTTCCCTTGGGAGAAGTTTCACTCTGTCTTGTAGGGTCACTGTGAGTTGAAATCACTTTGACAGTAAAAGTTTATAAGAGGATTACATAAAACTCTTAGCACAGGTCTATGATGAGGATTTATTGTAAGCTTGGCTTCACTTTCATTGTACAGCATTTGAGATATGACTGCTTTTCTCTCCCTCCCCAGATGGAATCCGCCTGTGTGACCATCCACGAGGCTCTGAAGACAGTGATTGACTCACAGACACATTATCGACTCCGGGAGGCCCAGGACCGGGCTCGGGCTGAAGACCTGAATAGCCGAGTTTCCTACTGGTCTGTGGGCGAGACAATTGCCCTGTTCGTGGTCAGCTTCAGCCAGGTGCTACTGCTGAAAAGCTTCTTCACAGAAAAGCGACCCATAAACCGGAGTGTCCACTCTTAGCTCAGGTGTCCTGTTCCAGAGCCCCTTGCATCCCAAGGTGGAGCAGCTCTCCTTGGTCACAGGTGCCTCCTGGGCTAGTGAGGCTGATTCAGGGTGGAAGGGAGCACAGGAAGATAGGCGGTGTGTTGGCACCTCGGCTTCCATTCGGATGCTTAATCCTTGCACCCCAGCAGCTGAAGCTGATAGAGCCCCTTAATAGGAAGACATCAGATTGCATTGTGTAACAATAACTGAGGAAAACTTTATAGTTAGGGATTGGCCTCTGTGGGAAGGCAGGCCAGGAGTGATCAATGGCCTGGCTAGTAGGGGGGACTCAATGTGCCTAGGCCTTCAGTCAGCTCGGGGCTCTCTGTGCTGCAGTGGGCTGACTGCAGGTCACTAAGTCATTTTACTTGTCCCATCCTGTGGGAAAAGGAAGGGGATCCTCTGCTGGCCTTTCTTCCCCTGGACCTCTCTCAGAGATTTTTACCTGGAAACAAAATCAGGTTTTGAAGCAGCTTTGCAGATCCTCCCAACTCAGGTGAGCAAAAATGGTGCCAGCCATGCAAGCAGGAAAAACATAGTGACTGGGGGTCCTTGGGTAGCTGTGTCTATCCAAGGAGGTGAGCTTCTGGTTAATAAAAACTAAGTGTGGACTTCTTGAAGACTGTACCTTTATTTCTTTACCTTAAATTTACAGCTGTATGGGAAACATGGATGTGTATAGAAAGAATAGATCCTTCCCTTTAAGGAGTCCTGGAGACAGTACTCGGGAGCTCTGGTGGTGTAGTAACTGGTGGGATAGGGAGTTAGAACACTAACACCAAACCTTTCTGGCAGTTTAGATCTACCAGCCCCTGGAAAAAAGATGGACAACCTCCTCCCATGCTGTTTACATCCTTGGAAACCCAGTGAGGCTATGGATTAGGGGGGACTCGATGCCAGTGTAGTTTGTAATGCACTGGGCTCTTAAACTAAAAGTCAGCAGTTCCAATCCACCAGTTGCTTTGTGGGAGAAACATGGACATTCTTCTCCCATAAAGATTTACGTCTGAAACCCAATGGAGGATCACTATGAGTTAGACTTAATGGCAGTAGATTTTTCTTCTTTTGTATAGATGTATGCATAGGGTAGAAGTATGTATAGGATAATGCAATTCATAGAACCCAAAACAAAAAAACTTCCATAAACTTAAGCACTGCAATCCCGAAGGTGCGCAGTTCGAATCCACCAGCTGCTCTGTGAGAGAAGGATGGTCATTGTCCTCCCATGTAATTAACTGCCTCTGAAAACCCACTGGAGGGTCAGCTATAGGTCGGTTCTGACTCAGTGGTGTATAACGACAACCACCACCCTATAAGACAGAGTAGAACTGTACTGTAGCATTTTCAAGGCTCTAACCTTACTGAAAGCTGACTGCCACATCTTTCTCCTATGGAGCCACTGTTGAGTTTAAACTGCCAACCTTTCATTTGACAGTTGAGTGTTTAACACAGTGAAATAAGATTTTATAGTCTCAGAATCCAGAAGTCACTGTCAATAACTGAGTCATCATTAAATGCAAGTAGAGGGGCTAAGTAAAATAAGGAAAAGTAAAGACTGAGCAGTAATCAGAGGCTGTCCTAAGCTCTGTTTCCATATCGTTCCTGGTAAGACCTTTGCTGTGGCTCCTTCCGTATATTGTTCAGAGATCAAGGTGAAATCATCACTGTGAACTATGAAATCTTGCATCATCTGACTCACCAACATTGTGCCCGAGAGAATCAACTCCTCTTGTCCTCCTTCATGTTGTCAAGCCCCATTGTTCTTGTCATTGCTGGCACACACCAGGCAGCACTCCTTCTGATCATGTGTGCCCTACTTCTCCTTCTGACCAAGTGTCATGTTGGTGAGCCAACCCCACCACTATTCAAGATGGTACCATCTCACTCCCTCAATACCTCCTTTGCTTTGTTTTTCTCTGTGACATAATTATTGTTGACATAGCGTGTTTACTTATTTAATGTCTTTCTTCCCCATTAAGAGGTAAATGCCACAAAGACCTTCCCTCCCAACATTGTTTACTGCTGAATCCTAAGTGCCTATTACATACTTAATGCTTAATAAATATTAGATGCTAGCTGAATATTCTTGCTATTAGTAAAAAGGTAAATAGCTATATAGTAGTTCTTAAAGAGCTCTTTTGGCTTATCCTGTATCAAATTGTGCTGCTAAAGCAAAGGCCGGGCATCTCCAGTGTCTCCTGAGGGGAAAAAAAGACGGGCACTCTGCTCTCATTGCCTGTTAAAGCCATTTACATCTCAGAAACCAGATGAGGGTTGCTGTGAGTCTGAACCAACTTGATGGCAATGCATTTGAGGACCTTTTGAGTTCTTGAGGGAGGATGTGATGTCTTCGTTAAAGAGAACCTACCAAGGACCCTGAGCTTTTAGGCTCCCTGGCAGATGATCAACACTGTAAACAAGGGAATAAAAGAAATGATGTCTTTAAGATGAAACTCCAGTAAGCTTTACTTACTTGGTTTCAAGAGGAATGCTGCTTATTTGTTCCGGTTTTGATAGTCTTTCTTTCCTTTTAAGTACCAACTAGATATAAATGATTACTTGTGAATTATGTGAAAAAGAATATAACACACATCTCTATGTAGTCAGCGCAGATTAGGCAGTAGAACATGGCTGTACTTTTTGAGCCGCTCTCTGCTCTTCACCAGTACATCCCCTCACTCTGCCCTGAATTGAGCCCTGGTGGAGTAATGTGTTAGAGAGTTGTGATTCCCTAGGAGGTCAGTGATTCAAATCCACACACTCCTCTTCCCCCAGAGGCAGTCTTCCCCCATAAAGGTAATGCAGCCTTAGGGAACCCATGGAGGCTCACGTGAGTCAGGACTGACTCAATGACTGGGGGTGGGATGGGGTGTTTGGTTTGTTTTTTTTTGATGTTTGGGTTGGTTTTTTGTTTTTGTTTTTGTTTTTAATCAAGAGCTGAGAAAGAATAATAAAACTTTTGCTTTCTACTTTTTTTATGTTCTGTGATTATACCCTTTAAAATGTAAGTAAATAAGAGTCGATTTGCTAGTAACACTTGTATTATTTACATAACCCTGTCATTCAACTATAGCAATGTGGACTGACAGTGGGATGAAGGGTTAAGGGGGAGCCTGGTCCTGTTCTTGAGTTAGGAGATAATATTTGCAATACAGGTTCCTTTTGTATTTAAGATTGATCAAGCATTCATGTTTTGATCAAAGATGTACTAAGAATTATGTGATAATCCAGCCCAAAATAAATATCTTTGGAATTTAGAGCTTTACAGTGTCAAAGCAGGAAACACATTTTTAAAAAAATGATCGTCGTTGTTAAGTGCCGTTGAGTCACAGGCGACTCATAGCGACCCTATGAAGGAGAGTCCTCAATGCTTGGATGTCTCTCGTCCTCTTTCCAGTTTCATAGGGTTTCCGGAGGCAAGCTATTACAGAAATGGATGCCACTCCTCCTTTCAAGCTTGTTTTAATCTGGGAGCTCCACCCCACTCTCTGTCTGCATTGGGTAACCAGCCATTAATGCATTTAACACATCAGTGTCACAGAAAATGATCATTATTATAAAGAAATCTGACAGGATGCTAAATATAATTTTAAACAAGAGCGTATTGCATTAGGTAAATCTGCTCTCAGGAACCTATCCAGAGTACTGAGAAGCAATGATGTCAGTTTAAGTGTGCCTCATTCAGACCATGGTCTTTGCAATTACTTGCTACACATCAGAGTGCTGGATTATAACTAAGGATGTTAGAAGAAGAATCGATGCCTTTGAGTTGTGGTGCTGGAGAAGCGCTTTGAACATACCATGGACTGCCAAAAAAAACATATAGATCTGTCTTAGGGTAAAATCAAGTTTCTCCTTGGAGGCTAGGATTTAAAAAATTTTTTTTTATTATTAATTTTAATGAAAGTTTACAGAGACTTTGGATTTCCATTCATTCATTGTTGCACTTTTCTCCCTGCCAACCCCTTCCCTCCAGTTCTCTCTTCTCTTAGAAAAAAGAAAAATTCATTCTTACACAATCCCTCCCCCAAGTCCACTCAACTATGCAGCCTTCGTTCTGAACTCCTGTCATGACAATAATACCTAGTATATCCCTCATCTGTTTCAATGCAGTATACATAGTTTATCCCGTCTTTCTCAGTCACCCCCCCCCAATGTCCCATTTTATAATAGCAGCACTATACAGTATTTGTCCTTTTGTGACTGAGATATTTCACTGAGCATAATGTCCTCCAGGGTCACCCATTTTGAATAATACTGCATGAGTTCCTTGTTTTTCAGTACATCATAGTATTACATTGTGTGAATATGCCACAGCTTCTCTATCCATTCGTTTGTTGATGGGCACTTAGGTTGTTTCCAACTCTTTGCTATTGTGAGCAAAGCCACGATAAACATGGGTGTGCATATATGTGCTTGGGTGGCGGTTATAGTTATGGGAGGTTAGGATTTTGAAGCTCTGTATTGCAAACTTTGGGCATGTGTCCAGAAGGGACTGATCATTGGAGAAGGACATCATGCTCAGAAGGGTGGCAGGACAGTGCAGAACAGGAGGAGATGGATTGATATAGTAACTAGGGCAGTGGGGGTAAATGTAATGGAGTCAGTGAGATTGGCTAATGATAGGGCAAGCTTCAGAGCTATTGTACATAGGGTTGCTATGAATCACAGGTGACTTGACAGCACATAACAACAACAACAGCATAGGGGGAGAGGTGGGAGAGAAGTACGAATTTAAGAAGGAGAGGGAGGGAGGAGATATTTCATGTTTACGGATGATGAATTTTGTTCACCATTGAGTCACACCTGACTCATAGCTGACTGGTGGATTTTCAGAGGCATTTAATGGAATGGGAGGAGATTGCCTGTTTCTCTTGTGCAGTAGCTGGTGGATTCTAACTGTGTCCCTTCAGGATTCCAGTGCAGCATCTTGCCACTAGGCCACCAGAGCTCCCTATGGATGATGATAAATATTATCAAAT